TATATATATATATCGAATATAGCTTATATATCTTAAGATGTATATATATATATATACTATACTATACTATATATACATCTTTATATACTATATATATATACATATATATATATATATATATATGTATATATATATATATTTAACGCATTGCTTTGAATATCTCTTTACAATATTTTTGTCTTTAAATTTGAATTAAAAAATTTAGGTGACAATTCTATAATATAATTTACAAGGAATTGCCTTAGATATTTTTATTACCATTTTTTTTCTCTAACTTCTATAAAAATAATTTAAAAAATAGAAAGTATCTGTTGGGCCCACTTAGGCCCGGGACCGTTAGTTCATGGTCTCGGTCCCGGGCCGGTTCCAACAAGAAGCATGCGAAGCCCGGGACCGCTTAGGACCGGGCCCGCAAAGCCCACTTAGGACCGGGCCTGACCCACATGCCACCCTTAGGCCCAGGATCGAGGCAGGACCGAGGGCTGCCTGGACAGAATTATAAAACGGTGGACTTCGTCCCATTTGCCATTTTTGACGAATTGGAGCTTGAGGAGAGGCGATTTTTGACAGATTTTCAAGGAAAAATATTTGGGTAAGTGATTCTAACTCGGATTTGGTCAATATACATGAATATATTATTATTTTCACCATTTAATTAGTGTATTGAGATGGAAATTTGGAAATANCTTTTAATAAGTCTGTTGCGGCGTGCAACCCGATCCTCCAATATTGATTTTTAATAAGTCTGTTACGGCGTGCAACCCGATCCTCCAATATGGACTTTTTAATANAGAAATCTCATAGAAACGAATTTTTGAGATTTCGGTGTCGATTAGGAGTCGGATTTGAGTGAAACTGGTATGGTTGGACTTGTAATTGAATGAGTTATCGGATTTTGTGAGTTTCGCCGGATTCCGAGATGTGGGCCCCACTGGTGATATTTGAGTTAATTTCGGGTTTTTATTGAAAAATATAGTATTTTCTTATGAAATTGATTTCTATAATTTTTATTGACTGTATCAAATTATTATGATTAGATTCGAGTCGATCGGAGTTGAAAAATCGAGGAAAAGGCATATTACTTGATTAAATTGGAGCAAGTCGAGGTAAATGACTTGTCTAAAACTCTAACCTTGTGTGAGGAAAATTTCCCCTAGGATTGGTATTAATGTGATAATTGTAATGTGATGAAAGTCGTGTACATGAGATGATGAGTGTGTAAATGGGCTAAATGTGAAAGATTATGTTTTAAATTGTGTAAATCACTATTGTATATTAATTAAATTATTAAATCTTGTTATATTCTCCATCATTGATCTGATTTATATACTTTAAATTTGCTTGACCTTCTCGTGCTAATTGTTTTTACATGTTTAGCTGAAACTTGGTTTCTTTTATTCTGTGCATTATTTGAAGGTGGAATTTTTTTAATTTATAATATTATTAATATGAAGTATTTGGTATTTTAAATTTGGAACTGAGGCAATGTATTAAAAAAATTTAAATATTATTTTTGCTGAGTTATTTAATTCCCGAATATTTTGTGAGATTTTTTGTACTCATTGTGATTGAGTCGTGAGCTCCCTATTGTGGAAAATATTGTTGATGTTATTTATTTTGGCAAATTAAAATATTTTGGGCACTTGATGTGCAAATTATGATATATTGTGATATTGGTACGCATGCGGTGGTATAAGGTCTGAGTGTTGAAACACATGCGGTGAGATAAGGGTGGCTTGTTACGCGCGGCTAGTAAGGGAACTACTAGAAGTCATGCGGTGTGATAAGAGTGGCTAAAACGCGGGATGCTATTTCAGAAAAAATATTTTTCTTTAAAATTAAATGTGAAGGCTCCCGCGGTGATAAAAGGAAATGAGATATTTTGAATTTATTTATGATTTGGGACTACGAGGCGGTACATCGGGAGTGTCCTTGTTGATATTGATTTATGGCTGCAGTTTCCTTTGATTATTGTTGTGATTTTCTTAAAGTTGAAAAGAATTCTGTTTTGTTTCCACGAGGTATTATTTGCCATTATTTTTGCATAGTTAATTGGTGACATACTACTTACTTGATTCATTTCCATTGTCATTTCATTTTTATTATATTGTTAAACATTACACCTTGTCTTTTATTATTCCAGTAGGGCCTGACTTGACCTCGTCACTACTCTACCGAGGTTAGGCTTGGCACTTACTGGGTATTGCTGTGGTGTACTCATATTATGCTTCTGCACATTTTTTGTGCAGATCCAGGTACATCTTATCAGACCAAGCATCAGTAATCTAGCTGTACGAGGAGACTTCGAGGTATATCTGCCAGCGTCTACAGACTCCGGAGTCCCCTTCTATCTTATTATGGTATCTTCCTTATTTGCTTTAGACTCTGATGTATAGAGACATAGAGAATAAATTCTTAGAAGCTT